TTTTTGAGTATTATTTTGGTTTATTTAAATTTTTATTATCTAAAACTATATAAAAAGGATCAGTATATTTAAAACACTCTTTTTTATTAATCGAGGTATTAGTTACAAGATGTCAAAATCAATGTAAACTTTTACTGTTTTCTTAACTTCAGCAAATGTTGTATTTTGGATTTTATGACGGATACACTTCTCTTAGGATGTAATAAATTCTCTTATTTTAGCTGACGGTGGGTAAGTGTTTGTTTGGAGGTATTGTGCAAACTCCTTCTGGATGCAATTCACTTCATTCTTGCTCAATGCTAAAATAAAAAATATTTTTCATAAAACGTGTTCGAAAAATTAGTTAAGGTGTGTTTGTCTTTATTTTATAAATTAGTATTTGTCACTTACATCGTTTATTTACAACTTTGTAGACTTTTGGCTTATCTGAAAGAAACAGTGTTTTGTCAAAAACACACAACTGTTTTACTTATATTCGCACTAGTATTATTACTTTTTTGACACCACAGTAACAAAATAAATTTGTTAAAAACAAATCTGACCTAAATTTTCGTTAACTCGAATCGGTTTATTTTTCCCTCTTATTCTAATGAACCATGCCTATGGCAGTATAACTGAGTAAAAGTAATAAAAACATAGAGAATTACCTATATCAGCAGTTTCTTGATCCTCGTTCTTCTTAATGTTTTCAGGAATCGGTTGGTCAAAAATATTATTATCTTTATTCGCTTCAATATTTTCTTTTTTGCACACAAACAATATTTCATTGTCTTGTGTGGGCGCATTTGGTGACGAGGACTCTGAAACCATTTAGATATAAAATGGCAAACTAGTAGTAAACAGAAAACTTTTTGCATGACTAACTTTAGGTTCATTTTCTTCAGGATAGTCCATATCAATGTCTATTTCGTTTATCGATTTGCCTTTATATTCGACAGGAAGGGTTCCTTTTTCCATCATCAATAGTATTTTTGAAACCTTTGCTGTCTGAAAAATATCTACAGGCAGCCTGGAATAACAAGTATGAAATTCATACACAAATAAAACTACCTAATTAGCAAACAAAAAAAGAAGACAAGAGAAGAAAAGTGCCTCAACTATGCAAGTTCACACAAGTTATTTTTCTTCAATGGGGTTTTTGTGCAATATTAACATGCGAAAGACAATACCTTTTTTGTAAAGAACTAGTCAGCAACTCAACCTTAAGTACCTATAATTTCAAGTTCGTAGAAACATGGCTGCGAACACTTTTTTTTGGGATCTGAAACGTTTACTCTTTTGTGGAAGCTCAATATTTTTGGTGATGTTAAATACCTACAGGGTGGGGCATTTTTTGGTCAGTTAAATTTATCCTCAAGTTTTTTGTGTGATTCCACTTACTTTCATTTATGATTGAGATATTAAATTAAATAAAAACATATTAAATATTACAGCTTTGCTTTTAAACATTGTAAATTTATGTTGATAAAACAGAAAAGTAAAAATGATATTTTGTTACTCCTATTTAACATACGCGATTACAATACGATTATTAGAAATTGTCCCCCCGTAACTACAAATTCTTGCATTTTAAGAGATACGATAATTTTGCCTGTGTGTATATTTCGATATGTGCTTATCCATTTGATATTTGATATTGCAAATTAATTACAATTACAATTAAAATATTGACAGAAAAAAACTTAGTTTAAACTGTTTGTTAGTTTGTTTGTTTGTTAGTTGTCATTAACAAAACTAAGATTTAAAAAATATCTTACTCATAGTATTCATCCTGAGTTTTCGGGGTATGTCCCATAAAATTCGCAAATTGCTTCGTTTCGTTTGGTGTCATATTAAGTATTTGCATGACAGTAGCGATGTGCTTTCGTAATTTGTTGCTAGAAATAGCATCTGGATTCTGCAACTCAATTTTTTTGGTTAGCATTCTAATGGCGACATCACCTTTGCCCCACTTTATCTTGCTGCCAGGTACGGTGAAGACATAAATGTTTTCTTCTGAAATATATTTATTTCTATTACTCAACATTGTTTCAATAAAATCTTCCAATATTTTGGGTAGTAAAATGACGATTGCCCGAGAACCTTTTCCGCTATTCAATAATCTCTTATAGTTCTTAGTTAATAACTTCTCTGTATCACTTAGGGCGGTTTCAAAATCTTTACATTCCGTGCTTCTAACTCGACGGTAGTCTTCAATCTTCAGATATTGAACATCACCAATCCTGTGCCTGTTAAATATTATCAAAAGCGCTAGCGAAGAACGAACTAAAAGTTTGTATGTTTCTATATCGTCCAAGTTCTGATTAAATTTGTCACAACATTCTTTTCCCATCTTTAGTACTTCTTCACGGAATTTCTTGATGTCACTTACAAGAGGTAATAGAAGTGGTTTGTCCCATTTTTTTTGTTGAAGATCCTTATTTGCCAAGGAAGATAATTCGATATTCCAACGACTTTCCTCTAACTTCTTAAATTTTTTTATTTTATCGGACCACTCCTTAGCGTCAAAATCAAAATTCTTGTTAAAACTAGCGGCTACTATCTTGTAGTTTCAAGAGCATTAAATTGAAATAATTACAAAAAAAAACGATTTTCCTAAAACCATTTAAAATATTTTCAAGGTAGTTTAGAAAATAAATAAACTTGAATGAATTTAAAGCAATTTTTATGAAACTGATATACCGTGGTTTACTATAGACGTATTAGAAGAATTTGCATACTATCTATAAAAATCAATAATGTACTATTTTATTTTTAATCAAGTCAAATTAACTCGAAAACTCCGCGATGAATAAATTTAGTGATACCTCCAAAATACGTAAACACAACTAAATATCAAAATTTTAAAAAGTAGACCATCACATGAACGCAAAAATTCATAGCAATTATGAAACTAATAATTTATTTCTTGTCGTAGTAGAAAGAAATGTCTCATATTTTTTCATGTAGTCTTCATTTTTTTTAAATGTCTTTATTTTATATGGTTTATTTATCATCACAGAAAATTTCGGCAGAGAGAGGAAATTTAAATGAAAACAACCTGAATTTACAATGCACAAAATTCAATGAAAAATAAAAATGAGCAAAACTGGGAGTGAAAATTATTAAATAATCCACCTTGATTTTTTTGTAGTAAGTATTACAAAAAATAAAATCGTTCAAACACTGTGAGTTGCTAAAATCGTAAAAGAATTATAAAGACCTTTTAATGCAATTACAAAACAAAATGCCACTTGACCTACAAAAATTTCTAAATTTTAAAATTTTTGTTTATTTTAAAAATAAAAAATAACTATTTTCAGCATTTTTGATTTTTTAATACTTTTCGAGAAAATCAATTATTATTATATTATCAGTTATAATTTACATAATGTATACGTACATATAACTCTTCACAAAAAGTTTTCTTGGATTTCGTGTCCACTACCTTTATTTTACTATCAGGAACTAGCAAGCTGCGGGTTTGTTGTGAGGTAGTAATATTTTCAGAATTTATCGATTGTGATGATATTGAAGATTCGTTAAGATCTTTTAAGACGAAGTCTAAATCTTTAGAATCGTCACTTTTAATATCGACAGATGACGTAAAACTATAAATTTTTTGCCGCAAGAGCTTTTCCCTTTTTTCATTTTTGGTGCACTTTCTGTTACTTAATTCGAGGCTCGGTGTAAGCAGTTTAATTGAGGAAATGACCTACAGTAAAAAAAAAAAATAGAATGCATTAGTTTTTCAACAAATTTCACTTACTTTTATTCTTTTAGGCGGAAGTTCTGCGCAGTGCTCCACGTCATCGTCAAAATTATTTTTTGCAATTGGTTGTTCTGAATTAAAATCTTGGGTTTCACAAGAATTAATCGGTAAAGGTTGTAATACTGTAAGTTTATATTCTCTAGTGCTTCTGTCAATGTTATAATAATCGGACACAAAACCATTATCCACTGTTTGCATTAAAAAAGTATTCTGCAAACGCAACAATATCACAAAATGATTAACAATATTAGAAATGTTTCAACACATTTGAAAATGTTTACTTACTTCTATCTTTTGATTTGGAGATGGTAAGCAAGGCTTCTTAAGTGAATCAAATTCTGTATTAACTTCGGTATGGCATCTGTGGTAACATTATCGGTATTTTGGAAAAATTGTCTATCATTTTTAGGATTGTACGAGCAAGTTTCTGTGTTGGCTTGTCTTGTAATATCGTCCTGCTTTTCACTTTCAAAATTGTCTTTATTTGAGAAAGGTTTTAATACTGTATCTTTTTCGTCTACTGTTTGATAGAACTCAGGTAAAGAGCATTGGTCAAAGTCACACTTTTTAACCCACTCCTGAAACGACATCATGTTTTGCATGTTTTTTTCTTATTTATTTGAACTAAAAAATTAATCGATTTAACTTACAAGAGCCTTTTCGTTGTGGTTCCATTCTGGTATAGTGCTAGGGTCAGGTAAAATTTTTGAAACTTCTTCTAAAATACACATACACAATGTAAAAATAATATTTTCAATTTTGAAACTTAGTCCATTAGGATTTAAAGAAAATCTTGAATTGAGTTTTTATTTTACTGCTTTAATGCGTCTTAAAATTGAACTTGAACAATTATTGCTTCGAAAAACTAAGGTAAAAAATAAATTAGTCACACCTAACCACTAATTAACTTTAGAACACTGTACTGCTCATACTTTTTTAAATATAGCGATATTCAATTCCAAGAACCCCAAACCTCGAAACTAAATCACCACAAGCTTACTCACATAATACTTGCTTAAATTATTTATACAATAAACACCACAAGGGGTGTTTATTATGTAGGTAATTTAAAGGTCTGACAGTTCAGTCCAATATTTTTTTATTGTAAAACTTATGAGTAAGATCACTTCAAGTGGACCCCCCATTTACCATTTGATCATAAAAATTCAATCTATTTATATTTTTTATAAGTACTTACGATTGAAAATTGATCCCAAAAACGATTTTTTAAAATTTTGATTTCAACATTTCTTTTTATATTGAAAATTTGAAGTACTTTTAATTAAAAAATGGATTAAAAATCCATGGTCAAATGTCTATACTTTAAGAATATATTAACGACTTAAAATTATTTGTTTATTTTCGTATTGTTAATTAACTTTTAAGTTAACAAATGAAAATTTAACTGATTCCTTGTATAAAAAATATTTTTTTTATCGGTCACATGCTTTATCCATTTCTGTTTAAGATTCCGGAAGAAAATTTCACTGCGCGTCATTAGTTTAAATTAGTTTAAAATGAATTTATTTATGACAACGCGCCGGACGCCGAGCGCCGTGGAAGCCCCGCGCTGCCGAGTGTTTCGAACTGCGTTGAAGGTTTTATCAGTGATAATTTTAAATAACAATACAAAATATTATTGTAAAACAAATTCTATTATTATTTGTGTTATTTTATTATAATTATTATTAATATTTTTTTTTACCACTATTATAAAGAATACGATCATAACATACTGAATAGCTTAAATAATTAAAATGTAAATTTGTCGTCAGTTTTTTTTTTTTAACTTTCTTAATAAATACTTTTTCATCCTCGGAAACGAGCCTGCATTCTAGTGAAAAATTTTTCAATGGTTTGTAATAATGAAATTGGCGAATATTTTTTATTGGACTTAAGCGTTTACTTTATGATAAATGACATAAGGGTGAAGTGTAGCCTGATCATTGGAGCAATGGTGTAATTGAATAGCATCTTGAACAAAAAGGCGGCCCACATATATTGCCCTCTAACAAGAATTGCACATATAATTAATTCCCTATAAAGACTATGAATTGGCAATTGGCAAGCTGTAATTAAAACTATTTTTTTTATCCAAACTAATTTATTTATCACATAATTGTCTTTTTTTTATTTAACGGATTGCAACATTAATTTAATCTGCCTATTTTAAATCACAGAAAATATAATTATTACAAATAAAAATAAAAATTATAATACTAAAATATTAACTAAAAAAACACAACTACCACAACACTTCAGCTTTTCGTTTTAATAATTATTTCATGCTTTGCGTATAAACTTTTGTCACGAATAGACAGGAATGACTTCTAAAATGATTTTGTTATTTACTCTGGATACGCGGAAAACAAATAAAAATCGTAACGGAGCGGTTTTTCTTTTGTTAAATAAAGATGTAGTGTTAACTAGTAAATTTAAAAATAATAATTTACTAAATTACCTAGAAAAAGTAAATAAAGACCATAACAATTTAAAAATTTAAAGTTGCTTATTTTTTTCTAGATTTACGCTGTTTGGTAAAAATAATAAAAAAATTTATGGTATTCTTTATAACATTGTTAAAAAAAATAAAATTTTATTAATAATAATTATAATAACATCAATAATAATAAAATTTGTTTTATAATAATATTTTGTATTATTATTTCAAATTATCACTGATAAAACCTTCAATGCAATTCGAGACGCTCACCAGCGCGGCGCTTCCACGGCGCCCGGCGCGCTGTCATAAATAAATACATTTTGTTTAAACTAATGACGAGCGGTAAAATTTTCTGCCGGAATCCTAAACTTTAATGGATGACCATGTGACCGATAAAAAAAAGATTTTTCTTACCAAGAAATCAGTCAAAGTATCATTTGTTAACTTAAAAGTTAGTTAACAATACGATAAACAAATAATTTTAAGTCGTTAATATATTCTTAAAGTATAGATGGATGCTAAAAATTTCATAAATTTATCTCTTACGGTTGATTTTTAATGTTAATTAAAAGTGCTTAAAATTTTCATTATAAAAAAAAATGTTAAAATCAAAATTTAAAAAAATCGTGTGGGGATGAATTTTCCATCATAAGTACTTATAAAAAATATATATACATTAAAGTTTTCTGATCAAGTGGTAAATGGGGGATCCACTTGACGTGATCTTACTCTTATATATTTAAAAAATTCATTCGAATTTTTGAATACTATTAAAAAGAAAGACAAAAGTAATCAGAAGGGCAATATTTAAAATATTTTTGTATGTTAATATGTTTAGATAACTATAAACTACAAATGGATCCTGAATGAACACTTACTTGTTTTGTCCAAAACAAGCGAAAGCATTAATTTACTTCTATTCATTTTTCCGGACGTGACAAAGTGCCGCACATCTCAAGAAAATGCCGAAGACTAAATGAATTCTTTTCGGTATATCAGGCATCAAAAATAATGGCTTTGAACTATACAAAAACTGCTGCGTTGCCAATTTACCATCACATGGGAAGTTGTAAGGTAGTTGATGCCAAGTTTCTTATATATACAAGAAGTGACAAGGTGTGCTTTATAGTTAGATTATATATTCGGGAAGTCGCAATTACTAAAGAGTTTCAGGTATATATAGATTTCGCTGAATATATCAAACATGTTCATAAAAAATTAAATCCGTTGTATGTCATGAATGGCTCCGGGTGCGTTTAAACGTAATTTTCTGGTGGTCTCATCGTCACTTGTAAGGGGCTCACTTTTTGATGATCTGCATATTTTTTAAAAAGATGTAAACTTTTGTTTCATGAAAACACTACATAACAGTAACAATTATTACTGCACTGAAGTGCACTGAATGTGTTATAGCCAAAAAGTAACAAATCTTTTATAACATATGGAATTGTTTCAGATTTATTTAATTTTTTCATAACTAAAAAGAACTTACTTATATTAAATAGCAGCCGCTAGTAAGCTAAATAAAAGGTTTCAGTATCTTCAAAATACTTTTTTTTGAAAGAGGCATAAACTTCTATAAATTGATGTCAAGATAAAAGTTGTGGAAAGAAATTTTACAAATTTTAGATTCTAAATACACACTTCCTTTTAAATAATGCGATCAAAAATATTGATGTTCATTTGATTGCGTCAACATAAACAAAACGCAAACAAACATTTCAAACTGAAATTGTTTTCATATATATTTTTGCCTCTTATCATGAATTCGTAGGCTAAGGGGTATTTGCTGTTTAAGTAATTTTAAAGACCTAACAATCCAGACACATTTTTAAAATACTATTTTATAATAGTTCCATTACTAAAAAATTCATTTGAACCCCCTGTAAATTATTAAAAACCATACAAAAATTACGGGAACTACAAAAACTTCATTAAAATGTCTAGACTACATTTTTGTTTTTGATGTAACCTTAATCAAAAACTCTGGAGTTCTACAGGCTGGTGTGAGTGATCATTTTTCTATTTTAAAAACATAAATGTGTCGCAATTTTACACTGTTCCTAAGAATGCAAAACCGACTGGTCGTCCAAAAATCGTATGTTGCAGGGGGTGATGGGAGTGAATATTATAATAAAAATTACAAAAAACAAAAAATATTATTATGTTGTTGTTTTCTACAACATACAGCCATTAAACTGACAAAACTTTTCAATATTTTTATATTTATATTTCTTCTTTAAGGAATAAACGCTTGCCCTGAAAACTCATTTTTATGTTATCGTTTACCTCGCTGTAACTTGAAAACTATTTGGTTTATCAAAAAAATGATTTTTATAAATCATATGCATTGAAGATCAACGAATCAGTTACTTTTGCAAAAACTCCAATCGGATGGATCGTATACTTATAATTAGCAAAATATGAAGCCATCTCGTTAATATCACGGCCGCCAGCGAAGCAACGAGAGAGGGTCAAATTTGTAATGACGGTCAGGCAATAAACAAACGACTTAGCGATTACGGCGGCTCTTAAGATCGTTTTTGCTTGTAGACCCTCTTTCGTAGCGAATGTGAGTTATACGTATTTGCCCTCATTATTACTTTTGAGATTACTAATTATTTGTATTAAATTTTATTGGCAACATTGCATATTAAACCAATAATACATAAGTGTGCATAGAAGCTAGAATAAAAATTAAAATTATATCTATAACAACACCTAAAATTAAGTAGAAGTAAAAAGTTAATCTAAAAAAAAATCCTTCGTGTTGGTCAGGAATCATTTTTGTCTCTCTTATTGCTACATATTGATTTTGCACATTTACAGAAATATTTCATAAATTGTCTTTTATAGGAACACAATGGCCCGTTACGCTTAAAATGTTGTGTCTAAATTAAAAAATCTTATTTGACAGAAAATTGAATGTCTCTATACCTTTTTTTTATATTGACAGGTGCTTAGAACTGATGTATGCTCTTGTAATATTGCTTCGGTTATCAGTACATGTGAAATTTTTCATTGAATTTGATTTTTTTTATTTGAACGGAACTCATTAGGGATCGTCAATTTTACATTATATGGCAAAAGTTTAAAGTTTCCAGGTATAGTTTCATTTATTGAAATTTGTGTTTCGTGAAATGTGGGTGCTTTGTCCAAAGTTTCTAAAATATATCTATATTATCTGCAGCAAACTGTACAAATCTATCGGATACTATTTGTCAAGAGAAAGTTACGTAATCGCCTTCTAAATCAAGTTGAATTTCTTCTTGAGCGACGCTCAGAATATCCGTGTAAGATACTGTGTGACAATAAGCGTGGCTGCTTTCAACCAGTTTTTTTGACTTGGTCTCCTGATAGGCTAACATTCCCAAACCACAACCCAACTTTCATGTCAAGGGTTCCATTCTTGAGAACCATTTAATTGTTAAATTCGCAAGGCGACATCTTCACTACCGAGATATAGAGCGTTTTTAAATTTTCGGCCCTTTAGAAAATTGCCCATAACATTTTTATTTATGAAAATTTTGGATCCAGATAAAAACATTATGGCATT